TCTTTAATTTATTTATTTTTATAGGGCTTTTGGGTACTCTAACATTCCCCCCTTCTGAAGAGGTAACCTTAAAATCTTTTAAGGGTTAGATAAAAGCTCCCAAATACTTTTGACATTTTTGGCCTTTGGAACAGAGTGTGTTGCTAACAGTCCCAAGGACATTTTGACTTTTAGCCAAGAAACTGGCTACATTTCTCTGGGGTCTTTTTACCCTAACTGCCTAGCCAGTTCCTACCTTCTATTCTTATCACACCATCCTCTGAAGGGGTTACCCAAATTGCCAATAGGGAATAGGGACGCAGACTGCTCAGGCTTCTTCCACACTGAACAGGGATGCAGGGTGAAGCAATTGGAGTACCCCTTCAGTGGGTCTATCTAAAAGACTCCCAAATTGCATAACTCTTATCTTTAAGGGGAAAAGAAAGTCCTTGACTGGTGACTAGGAGATGTGAAGGAGAAGTAAAGGCAAGAGTAATTAGCATTACAAGTTCTAGACGGGGAGCTAGAAAAAAGTCAGAAGAGGGCAATTTTCGAATGTTCATAGGAGAGTCCATTGGAATTTCTTGACAAGGGCTTCTAAAAGCATCCCTCTATTGGGTTCCTCTTCATTTTTCTTTTTGTCTTCCAAGGCTGGACTCTAGAGTGATGGATTCAGAATTTGCTTTCAGGTATTCTGGTAGCTGTTGGAGTAGTTAGAATCAGTGTCAGTTCCCTCTCAAAGGCTTCTAAAGGGGGGGGGCAAATTTATCCATCATGTTAGAACAATACCTGATAACCCACCTTCCAAAATGAATGGAACATGAAAAAAAAATTAGAGACACAACTAACATCCTAAATTCAATTATATTTTCTTCCCTCATAGATTTATATCAATCCCAGATAAACACTGTGGACATGGCTTTGTCTGCATTCAGACCCTTAACCTTATAAAAATATTCAATAATTTATGCATCACTTAATATGGGCTGAATAATCTGGGGCCATGCATACTTATACATACATACATATATAATCTCATTTAATCAGTTAAACAGGTTTATTATTTTTGAGCTCTCTTTTTTATTTTAAAAATGAAGAAACAGAAACATCAAGATATCAAGGCAATCATTGAAGGTTATAGTCTGTGGTATTAAGGCTTGTCTTAAAATCCTAGCTTGTTTTCCTGTATCAAATGTTAACTTTCTATCCACCCTCTGCTGGTCAGGAGGTGCTACTGCAGCTGCTACCGTTTGCTTTTGTCAAGACCAGATAAAACCAGGAAATTGTACATTCACTCAGTAGCAGAGTTAAGTAACTCGTTCTATTTCTCAGGAATACTATAAGATATGCTACATAATTATCCAAGTGTCCACAAAGCTCATACTTATTTTTTAGTAGGCTACGTAAAAACAATTGAAGGTGATCCGTGTTTCAGCCCACGTCTTTCTGTAGTAGTAAGCCTGGTAACTCCCTCTATAAATCCCACAATGGCTGGAATTATTGTCATTCATTGAATAGTCATTCATTGAATCAAAATTATATGTTGAAACACTATTAATTGAGCACTCAATTTAATAAAATACGCAAGCAAATGCCTCACTCCAAAGATCAAAGAATTATCCTATCTACAAATGACAGAGCTAACACCACCATCTGATAGAGGAACTGCACAAGTATGCACTAATTTATTGCACAAGAGAGGTTCAAGAAGAAAGCAGTCTGCTGTAGACAAGTGTGAGAAGAAGCCTAATCTGTATGATGTCCTGCTTTGCCCATCCCATACATTGTATCAGGGCTGTGTGTTGGCATTGAAACATGGCGCCCTTTTCATTGTAAACACTTTCTAAAGCAAGTCCATGAAGAATCAGACATTATCCTAAAATAATTGAGTCTTGCTAATAAGGGCCTTTCATAACAATTTTATTCTTTCTTCACAAAAGGAAAGCTAAAAGGTAAGCATGATTTTTTTTATTGTTTGGTTTTTTTGTTTTGTCTTGTTTTTTCATGCAGGCTAGGTGCCCTTACCAATTCTGGAACATTTAAGCTAAGAGATTTGTAAACTATATGCTGCCAGAAATTACACTGTGTAAACACACTTTTATTTAGCATCTTCTGCTAGTTTTCAAAATATGTTTTATTGCATATAGTCAGGCAGCGTTCTCACTTTGGGGTTCAATAGTGGGATACGCTTGCCATTATAAAACACAGAGTGTAGTAACAAAGGCCCAGTCAAGAACCAAAACCATCAGGGCTGGAGAGATAGATGGCTCAGCAATTAAAACCACTGGCTGTTCTTGCAGAGGAGTCAGGTTCAGTTCCCAGCACCCATATGGTGGCTAACAACGGTCTGTAACTGCAGTTCCAGGGAATTCGACACCCTCTTCTGACCTCTGTGGGCACTGCATGATATGGGTGGACTTTAATACATGCAAGCAAAATACTCATACACATAAAATAACAAAAATAAAAAATAAAATATTAAAAAGAATCAAAAGCATCGTAAGATCCTTTAAGGCTTGTGGAGAGCTTCAACATGAGATCGTCTTCAGCTGAAGAGCACAGGGAGAGGAGAGCTCTATTCAGGGGAGAAGGGAGAAAGCAGTGGAGGTCGACACAAAGAAGCGGTGCATCTGCAAAACACTGTGTCAAAGGAAGATTGGAACTGGTCGAGGGGCCGAATCAAGGCCTGTCATTTTGGAGCAAATTGGGCAGAGGGTAAAGACAAGAGTGGGAATCAAAAAGATAGACAACATTTTGTAGATTGTGTGGGATAAATTTTACTGTAAAAGCAAAGAAATGAATTTAGTCTCTTTAAGAAGGAGAACCATGGTTAGAAAGATAGTTTAGTCATGAAAGCGCTTGCTTTGCATGCAGAAGGACCTGGGACCACACTGCAGAACACATTTCAAAATGTTGTGTGTGTGGCGTGTGCTTATAATTCCAGAACTGGGAAGGCCTTGAAAGATAGGCAGATGCCTGGGGCTTGCTGCCCTCCCAGCTCAGCCTACTTTAGAAGTTCTTGTCCCCAAATAACATGGATGATGTCTAAGGCGACACGTTGTCCTCTGACCTCTGTATGCACATGAATACATGTGCATGTATAACCCTCATATATGGACCCACTCATACATACATGCATACAGACACACATACACACACACACACACACACACACACACACACACACACACACACACACACACACACACACACACACACACACACATCAGATGCTCCAATGGAAGCCTTTGTAAAAAAATAGATGAACAAATAGATAAGTACAAGATTGCATGCGTAAGAATTAAATGACTTATTGGAGAGCTCATGTGGAGGATATAATAGGATTTCCAAATGCATAAGGGTGGTCTTCAAGACAATAAATAACTTGCATGTACTACAAAGTTATTCATATGTGCCTTGTAGATAGGCTCCTTCATATGACAACAATAGGCATTCACAAGAGTTACTCAGAATTCATGAATATGCTTGTGTTTCCTCAGACCTGTAAACAGTCCGTCCTAAGAATACACTCCTGTTCTGTTTCATCCTAAGCTCAGCTACGTAAATTACAGAATGTATTACAGAAGTCATTCTGACGGGTTCTGTGCTGTGAGTACAAAACTGCTCAATAGAACATAGTGGTGCAAAAAATCGTAGGAGCTGATAATCTTCCCACAATCAACAAAACACAGAATAAAAATAAAAAGTATATTGAGAATCGGCTTGCTACACAAGAAAAAAGTAAGCTTTGAGAATCCAGAATCCAAGTAGACACACTGCCTGGTATATAAGTTTCGTCATAAAAGAAAAATGTTAAATTTCACTCAAATAGTAGTTGATGGACAGGAGGGAGGCTAGGGGGAGGTGAGATGGGGAGACGTGAAATGATAGACATGAAGAAATAGTTAGACAGGAGGAATACATGCTGTTGATGAAAGCACAGGAGGGCAAGCATAGTGCGATACAGTTTATGTGATAGAAGAGTGAAAAATTTTCTTATGTAGAGAAACAATAAATGCCACAAAATGGGAAATGCTCATTAGTCTAATTTCATCATTGCACCCTGCTTACATGTAACAAATTACCACACTGCTTCCCATAATATGTGCAAATATCACATCAATATAAAATGTAAAATGAAAAAGTGTTCCAACATTTCCTATTCCCACATTGTGGATCAATGTATTACATATCCTGTGTAATTGTTATATGGTTCATAGTTTTCCTTAATTCAATAGTAATATAATTTCACTGTTAAACCTTACTGAATGCATACAAGGAAAGATAAAAGGTATAAATTACCCATTTCCCATTAAAATAGTCTATTGGTGATTCAGAAAAAGCAATAACCTTTAAGTGGGAAAAAGGAAAGAGTTTCATGAAGAGGGGTCAAGCAGATTTGGAGAATTAGATACAGAAAAAGAGAAGAGGATGCTGGGGCCATGGGTGCATTTGGTACTTTGATTGAACAATAAGAAGAAATATTGTGTATTCCACTCACATCCTGATCAACTTGGAGAGACCAAGAGAGACAGTGGACTCAACTGGGTCCAATTCTAAGAGTAACTTCAATATCATCTTATCCCTTTCTGACCATATGGGTACTTCTAAAACTCCAGTGATGACTATTAACCAGCATTCAGTTGACTATTTGTACCTGCGTTCCATATCGTCCATTTACCAATGTAAAAAGTCACAGTGGCAAGCTTGGATGACAGGCTGAGACTCATATATGACAAACCTCACCCTAATGACTCAGTTTTGGAGCTCACATGAAAGACATTTTGAAGACTCACAATTGGACTTGGATCTCGTTAATAAGACATGGTTTCACGTGTAACTAAACAAAGTACTAATGAGATGTTAACCTACAAATTAAGCAACAGGTGCAAAGGAGTTTTGAAATAAAAAGCCAACACCCAAATTTCTGAGTACTATATAATATCCCCAGTAAAGAAACTCATCGTCAAACTTAGCATCTTGAGTCCTTTTGGCTGACTTCAATTAAAGGTTTTAGTAATATGCCTCACAGCCACTGCCACTCACGCAGGAGCTTGGGTAAGGCCCCACCACTCTCAGCCATCCTGCATGACTCCAGGGCGACAAGCTTTGAAGATGGAATTTTTTTACCCAGCAGCTGCTACAGCAGAACCTGGCTCCTAGACAACTTTGAAGAAGCCTGCAGTGAAACTCCCACCAGTCAACTGCCCACTTGTGAACAGCACCAGTGCACAGCAGACACTTGTGTGCAATGGTCCTGCCTCCCTAAAGTTGTCCACACAACTTGTTCCAATTCCAAGTCCTGTGAGAAGACAGCATGCCAACCAGCAGTGCCAGAGTGTGCTTCTCAATCCTGCCAGTCAAGAAACAATCAGCAAGTGGGTTTTGTAGCCCAGAGAGACCAAACTGCAAGGTACAAGGCCCAGTGTTACCTACTAAAGAATACTGTGTCTGAGAGTTGCCGAACTGTGGAGTCTGAATACAGTCAATGCCATCATCAGGCCCTCGAATCCAGTTCCTGTAGCCCCTTGGGCAGTGTTGCTCCCGGGCCACAACTCATGGAGACTTCCAGCATTCGTGAACCAACTTGCTGTGTTACTGGTGGTTTGCAGTTGCCTAGTAAGTGAAGAATCTACAGGAGATATGGCACATTTGAATTGAGTTCTGAGATATTTGTGAACTCCCTTTCTGTAATTTAAAATGTGTTCATGTTTGAAAACAAATGAGTATATTTTCTTCTACTATTGGCTCCAAATCAAAAATTTTGTTACTATTTGGGGTATTTCTGGTAATAAACTGGGGTAATAAAGCATGCTAAGCATTTTAAACAACAAAGACACTGTTATTGGGTGATAAGTTGCAACTAGGAAATAACATCAGTCCTAAAGAAGGAAACATTACCCACTGACTGCTAGCTATTGTCTAGGAAAATATTTAGCACTATATCTGGCTTATTAACTAATGTGATTCTAACAGAAGTCCATGAAATACTGATATTTACCCTAGAAGCTCAGGAGGTCTTATAAATTCTGATGGGTTCAATTCCAGTAGACATTGATAAGTAGTTAACCTGAGGAACCTTTGGGATGACTCTCTACCTAGCCTTTACACACTGAACCAAAACACCTTTAAGTAAGTGATGGGCTCTCTCACTTGAGAAGGACCTACAAGGATTTTATATCTCTGTGATGAGCAGAAATCTTGGAAGAGAATTCAGTTAGAATCTTCATTGCATTTCTGCTATTCTGCCTCTTTTTCGCTATTTCATCAGTGACTCTGGAGAGGGAAAGTGTTGATTTCCTTAAAAAAATTTGCCTCATCAGGAATTAAAAGCTTAGTTGTCACACTGTCAGTTTTTCTTCAACCTTTTTGCCAGTTTTTCTTAAAGAAATTTATTTTATTTAAAAATGTTATCTATTATTTTTATTTTACATGTATGATTGTATTCCCCACATGTATGTAAGAGCACCTGTGTGTGCATTGCCCGTGGAGGTCCAAAGAGGGGATTGGTGCCTTGGAAATGGAGTTTCTGGTGGTTGTTGGCCACCATGTGTGGGGAGATTCAAACCCAGGCCGTCTGCAAGAGCAGCCAGTGCTTTTAACCTCTGAGTCATCTCTCTAGCCCTGTGAATTTTATTTTTTATTTCTATGTGTGTATGTCTGTATGAGTGTATGCCATATGTGTGTGGGGGAATTGGGGGATGCTGCAAGGTCAGAAGAGGGCATCAGATATCCTAGAGTTAAAAGCAGGTGTGAGACTCCAACTTGGATCCTGGGAACTAAACTCTGGTCCTCTGAAAGAGCAGCATGCCCTCTTAACCGCCGAATAAACTCCTCAGCCCCATTTTTTTGAACTTTATAAAAGTTAGAATTTTGAACTATTATTTTTATAATTTATTTTTTTGAGAATTTCATATGAGAACTGTATTTATGTACTTTCTACCCCCTCTTAATATGTCAAAAATGATGCACATATTTGAAAATTTAAAGAACACATTCCTTTACCAAATTTTTTCAGATAAGAGCTAGAATAAGGCATCACATTTTTGGTAGTCACCAAAAGATGGCAAATATACTCAATATAAAGATCATGGTATCAGAATATTTGAAATTCAATAAATCTATTTAGGTGTCCTGAAAGTTCAGTAGCCTTAGAGGCACTTTTAATTGAATGTCTCATTTTGGAAGACAATCTACATTAGTTGATAAGAACATAGATTTTTGAAGAGAGTCTTCCTGGAGTTGAAATCATAGGCTTGTTGAAGGCTGCCAGGTTCTAATTATTGAGCTACTCTAAATGTTTGTGTTTTAAACTCCAAAATTGATATTATAAGATGAGACAGTGTGAGGACTGTGAGGGTTAATCAGGTAAAGTATTAAAAGTTCTCAGTACGTTATTTTGCATGTAGTAGATACTCAGTAAGATTTAGCAAGCACCTAGTTTAGAAAGCAAAATGTCTGGAGATAATGGAAGTTTGCAAAGAAACCCAGAGAGATCTATGAAAACCTAGGAACGTTCATCATCTCACAAAGAGAGAAAAGCAATTTCAGATTTTAGAAAGTGCAAGTACCATCTTTTATTAAGGCAAAGCATTAAGAAACAGTAAGCCTAGTTGAAGCAGGCTGGCTAGTTATCTCTGACATTGTAAGGGTCCTGATATGATTGACAATGGTACTAGTTTGCTTCTCTGTTGCTGGAATAAAACTCATACCAAAAGCAATTTGGGGTGGAATTCATTTAATTTTGCCTGTTATAGTCCATTGTTAAGGACAACTGAAGCAGGCCCTGGCTTGTTCAGCTACCGGCCCAGGCTCACCTTTCTAGGTATGGTGTTACTCACAGTCAGCTGGACCAGGCTCCATCTATTAGCACTCAAGAAAATGCCCCACAGACATGCCCACAGGCCAACCTGATGGGAATAATTCTTCAACTGAGATTCCCTCACACCTTGTCTAGGTTTGTGTCATTGTCAAAAACTAAACAGCACATCAGTCTGTGATAATTGTTGTGGAAATTCCATGATGTGTCAAGTTGACTGAGTCAAGCAGCATCCAGAAGAAACATCATTTCTGGATGTTCCTATAAGGAGTTTTTGAATAAGACTGCATTGAAATCAGTGAATTCAGTAAATAATCCTCCCCAGAGTGACTGTGTATTGTTGAATCTGTCAAAAACTTGAATAAAACAAAAGACAGAGGAAAGAGAAATTGTTCCTTCTGGTTCTTACCATCCCACTTGAGCTGACACCTTTGGCCTGAGATTTACACCTTCAGCTCCCATGTGCCAAAGCCATCACACTTAATCAGAATGAGAGCACTGGCTGTCCTGGGTAGCCACTGTACAGAAGGCAGAATATGGGACTTCTTAATCATAATCTGTAATCATGTGGTTGTGAAAGAGGAAGGTGAAAATTATAGCTTTATACTTAATTTGTAACATAAATATGAAAACAAACTCGGTTCTGTTTCTTTGAATAGCCCTTATTAATAAGGGATTAAGACAAAAAAGGAAGACGTCACCATAAACGTCCTAAATTCTGCACAGGTGCTTTGTGGAGAGGTGGAAGTGAAAGAATGGTTAGGGAGGTCTGAGAGACAGCAGAATAGGTCCTGTTTGATTCCATAGATGGAAGCAGAGTGTGTGGACACAATGGAGCAACTCTGATGCCAGGGTTGGTCCAAAGTTTCTGACTACAGCCGTGATAACAGCAACACAGAACTGGCAACAGTAAAGAGAAACTGTCTCCTGACAGCTTCTCTGGATTCCAATGCAACCAATGTGTGACCATGGATGAGGTTGATTCACAATGAAGATCCTTAATGAAAGTCAAATGGGATCACTTGAGAAAAGCTCAATTCATTAGCCATTGTGTCTTCCACACATGCAGGGGTTATAGCTTATGTAAAAGAATGGGCTTTGTTGAAGAGTGATTATTTATGGTTAGGAAGGATTTGCTAAACAATTTTCATTTTCATGTCTACCCTATTTGTCATTTACTGCTTATATAATTCATATTTTCCAGGCTGAGCTTAGCTGCTTCCTTAAGAAGTAATCTGAGGAACAAGCCAGTCCATGACGTAACCCAACATAAAACACATAAGCTCCTTCCAGGGAGAGACTGTGTGACCTCAAGTACAAAACCCTTTTTAAATTTAAAGAAAAATTGTAGGATTGTATGAAGAGACCTCGGAGGAAAATTTACTGTAAGAAGATCATGAAACTTAGATTATGACTAGGTCTTGCTCAATTCTAAATTCTGTCAGTTACTAGCTATGTGCCTTGGGACAAAGTGACATTTCTGAGACTCGGTTCTTTCATTATAAAATGGATAAAATGATGCTTAATGCAATAGATGATTGTGACGGTTCAATGATAGAGTGTCAATTGAATGCTTTGTGGAGTGTTTAATACATGGTAAGTGTACAATATATGACAAGGATCATTTGACACTTGGCTCCTGGGGCTCAACCCTCAGTTTATGATTGATTGTGCTGCACTGAAACTCCAGGACGGAGACCAAGAAAAGCCTTATATATCACGTGAAAAGGACTGGGCAATGTGGAACATAGCCAAGGTGTCCTGTGCTGAACACAGACTCAAAAGAAACAGCCCATGAGTACATATTACAGAACATTTTTTACAGGTCCAAACACTCCTTTTTCAAAGAGAAAGGCTGTAGTAGAGTTTGTGCATTAGTATGTCAGAGACATCAATACATAGAGATATTAGCAACATGCTTTTCTGTTACACATCAAGCAAGATGACCATCAGAAACATTCGTTTGTCTTCCAATAATGTGCCATGAGCCATAAAAAAGGTCTTAATAACTGGGCAGGCCTTATTTGCCAAATATTTTGTATGTCTTATCATTTTAATAACTTTATAGAATTCATATTGTGTTATTGTCCTGTTTTTTCCCCAGTAAAGATGAAGGCTCATATAAATAGAGTTGTTCAATACATGAAATAGGTGTAGAACAGGGATTTTTTTTAACACTAAAGTTGAGTTTCAAAGAAGAAATTATAGCTTCTAAAGCCTTGATTTTATTACATTGCTAGTCATTAGAGTAACTTCAAATATGGGAGAAATTTTTTGTGTTATATGGAAGGTCTATAGAAATGATTTAATTGAAATTATTGGTCTGAAAATCACTGTGAACCTATAGAGAAAAGAATCACAGCACTAAATAAAGTTGACTACATGGCATATTTGTAATTTAGGAGTAAATGTTATAAAATGTAAATACATTTATTATAAGTTTATACAAATTAAATGTACTTCAAACATCTTAGAAAAACAAATATTAACTTTAAATCATGTGAAATTGATAAAGTGTAGTTTCTAGGCAAGGTGTTTAAATGTCAAAAAGTCAAACTTCTATGTTAAAAATATTAAATTTTTAACATCAATAATTTCATTTTTCATTCCCTTTTAGCCCACTAACTTTTTAATTAAAGTTTCTTTTGAAAACGCTGATCTAATTGTAGACATTAATGGGAGATGGAAATAGGACTTTTCTCCACAGTGGATGAGAATCCCTACCTTTCTTTAAAGACTACCGTCCTTTTATTTAAATATTTTACCTGTTATTTTTATTTTGTGACCTGCAGTGCCCACAGAGGTCAG